TTGTTACTAATAGCTTCTTGTTACTACTAGTAAGGCACTTGTTACTAGTAGCGATGCACTTGTTACTACACTGAGGTCGCTCCGATCACTCCCGTCGCACCGAGACAGGCACAGCACTCAGCGCCAGGTGCGCTGCACGGTTCGCTTGCAACAGGCGTGACCTGGATCCAGCCCGAGATTTACAGCTGATTCATGGTTCGTATTGATTCTACACTTCAACGCTCTAGACTCTAAAATTCTCAAGGGTCAAGAAGTATATAATTCATGGGCGCATGATATCCTTTGACTGTTCTTGAGTGTAGCCTTGTCGACTGTGCTGCGGGAATCTGCTCACAAGGCCATTGGAGCGTGTAAAGAAGTTGAGCCTTGTCTGCAGAATGTGAGCATAGTCGAGCTGTGTTTCATCTTTTTGCGTCAGGCTCTTGCTAGTCTGATCCAAGATGATCTAAGATCGAATCATTCTGGCCAGGCTGGATCACGATCTCCCCGCCTGCAAATCAAAAAGAAGGCTTGATTGACACATCCTCGCCACTGGTCACGACAAAACTTGCTCCTTAGAATGGACGAGTAACTTGCAAAGCAGCAGAACTTACATAACTTGCATTCATTTACATTCCCAAAGTGAGCTAGTAAGGCATACTAGGGCAGTTGAATCCACTACCCAAGTCTAGCGTGGCAGGCACGTTCTGGGTGGTGGTTGTTGAGTCCTTCCAGGATTGGTGAGGAAGCCATCTCCATGCTTTGCTTGCGCCTTGGGAGCTCGCCTGGAATGGAAGCTGAGAGCTTCCAGAGCTTCCAGAGTAGCACAGCACACGCTGCACCTGATCGTCCCAAGTGACCCATGTCAGCTTTTCAGCTGGAAAGAAAGGAGCACCTGAAGAGCTTCTGCAGCTCGATTCTCCAAATGGCAGCTGAAAAGAATCCGGCCTCCAAGCGCAGCGATGGTGAAGCAAGTCCGTGCATGTCTAATCCACGACACCCGCAACAGCTGCTCAGTGTTCTGCCATCTGCTGCATATGAGGGGCTTGGCCTCTTCTCGGAATAGTTTCAACAATCACAGCAAAGCTACTAGGAGCAAGAAGCTACTAGGAACAAAGGGCATCGCTACTAGGAGCAAGGACGCTACTAGTAGCTCCTGGCATTACTACTAGTAGCAAGAAGCTACTAGGAACATCCTCTACTCTACTTCACCCGAACCAACAAGCCTTGCAGTCATGGAGAGGGCAGGCTCCACGCGAATCTGCTCCTCCAAGGTGATCCATTGCCTTTGCTCGCTCTTGGGTCCATCACCGAGAGCCTGGAGAGCCAAGGAGTCAAGGAAGTAGTTCAAGAATTCGGAAAATTGACGTAATGCATTTCCTGTAACAAAAACACGAGACACATGTCACAGTTGCCCGGCAATGGTGCGCCTCCGCTAATACCAGTAACCGCACAGAATGCAAGCCACTGGCATTGATGCACACCAGAACTCAGTCAGCTCCGAATTGTTGAAGTCGCTTGTGTGGAAACCAACGGTTCAGTGTCCAAAGAAATCCAAAGAAGCATAGCCACCGAGCAAGAAATGCGAAGACGTGAAAATGTGAGGTGTATTTTGGCTGTGAAACGGAAAGTAAATTGAGACTGACTGAGAACCATACCCGGCACCCGCAGCTCTCGAGGGAAAGTGCCGTGTAGTCGCAGGCCCTGCAGTTTTAGTCCAAAGATTCAACGAAACTTGAGTAACAAAGAGCATCGCAACTAGTAGCTAAGAAGCAACTAGTAGCTCCTGGCCTTACTACTAGGTACAAGGACGCTACCAGTGGCATTACTACTAGGAACAAAGACGCTACTAGGAGCAAGGACCCTACTGCATCGCTACTAGGAGAAAGGACACTAGTAGTAGCTCCTGGCATTACTACTAGTAACAAGAAGCTACTCGGAACAAAGGGCCTCGCTACTGGGAGCGACGCTACTAGTAGCTCCTGGCATTACTACTAGGAGCAAAGACGCTACTAGGAGCAAGGACTCTACTGCATCGCTACTAGGAGCAAGGACGCTACTGCATCGCTACTAGGAGCAAGGACGCTACTAGTAGCTTGTGGCATTACTACTAGTAACTAGGAACAACAGGCATCGCTTCTAGTAGCTAAGAAGCAACTAGTAGCTCCTGGCCATACTTCTAGGAACAAGGACACTACTAGTAGCAAAGGGCATTCCTACAGTACTAGGAGCGATGCTCCTAGTAGCTCCTGGCGTTACTACTAGGAACAAGGACGCTACTAGGAACAAGGACGCTACTGCATCGCTACTAGGAGCAAAGACGCTACTAGTAGTAGCTCCTGTCCTTACTACTAGTAACAAGAAGCTACTAGGAACAAAGGGCATCGCTACTAGGAGCAAGGACGCTACTAGTAGCTCCTGGCATTACTACTAGTAGCAAGAAGCTACTAGGAACAAAGGGCATCGCTAGGAGCGACGCTACTGCATCGCCACTAGGAGCAAGGGCGCTACAAGTAGCCCCTGGCATTACCACTAGTAAGAAGAAGCTACGAGGAACAAGGGCATCGCTACTGGGAGCGAGGCTACTAGTATCTCCTGGCATTACTACTAGGAACAAGAAGTACCGAAGTACCCATGTCACCTAGCCTCTTCCCTGAAGTCCACCTCAAGCCCCTGCCACAGCGCCAGGTGGCTTCACAAGTACTGTATTGCTTTTGCTTGGCGAGTTTGGACAGCTAAAAAGAAACAAAGAGTCTGTTGCTTGCAGCAGCAAAACCATTGTAATTACCAAGTTTGACCACAGTTTCTTCCGCGGTGTCCAATATTAAACCACATAGTGCATTGTGTATCTGTCACTTGTGTCACACATGGAATGTGAAAGCCAAAAGGCCTCATATCCTTCAGGAGCATCGAGGGCAACACCGGGATAGGACCTTACCGTGGGTATTTGGACTTGCGCCACCTCCCGAGTTTCGATCCAAGGCGGGGACGCCGCCACATGCAGAAATGCCAATGGGCAATCCGTTTCTGTACTGATGACCAAACTGGCAGAATGGGGCACAAGTCCAACGCCGGCTGAGCAGTTCTCGCCGAAGCTAACAAAGCTTTTTCTGCTCAAATTGCCTTGCCTGCACTTGTGAAGTTCACCTGTCATGGATACATGCTTTGCCACATGCTCCCATTTGTCTTCGTCAAGGCCTTGCAACAAGCGAGGGACTCGCGTCACACCCTCCAGCTCGATCCTGGGCACTGTCACACATCAACAGCAATCGTGGGAAAAGCTCTAAGCCATGTACAGCTGCAAGCCTCACGGCACCGTGGACAAATGGACTTTGTTGCACTTGATCTTGGAAGTCCCGCAGATCAAAAATCAAACAAAAGAGAGAGCCAGTGACAAACTGATGGTGCCACATTTGGAAGCGGCATCCAGAGTAAGACTATGTTCATTCCATCGATATTCGTCAGCTTTCGGAAGCCTTAGCAAATTCCTGCTAGTCGCCTGCTAGTACAAAGAATGTTTTTGGGGCGACCGCGACAATATGTTTTTCTAAACGCTTTTCGCACCTTGAAGTTGGGCGGACAAACGAGGCTTCTTCGATCGAACCTGGACCACGGACGGCAGAGGTAAGGCAGAGTCAGCAGTGTCAAAGAACTTGACTCTAAGTCCATGAAGGTTGAGATCAGTTGAGCGTCCGAGACACATGTCCCATTTTGATCCAATTCCACAAGGAAAGTTTGGAAAGCCCAAAACAATCACTTTGATTGCTTCGCCATGCTTCGCCAAAGGTGGGCCTTGAGCTCCAAGCGCAAGTCACCACTATAGACGCCACTCTTGGATGCGCGTTGCTCCAGCCTTGAGCATAGACCATAGTAACGGTTAAAGGAAGAGCATGATAAAAAGTAGTTTCCTGCTACTAGTAGCGACGCCCTTGTTATTAGTAGTTTCTACTGTAAGTCCTTCGCAGCTGCACTGAGTCACTAAGTGCCGGGCGTGTTTCGAAGGCGCCGTCCTTTAAGCTGGAATGGGCGATCACAAATCACCTGCAACAGGGAGTGATTTGATGACATGGTGCGTTCAGGAGTTCTCATGTTGTGAAAAGGGATGGTTCAAGAATGAACGTCTAGAGTACCAGATTGTTGAGCCAGAACCTGTTGTTATGCCTCTTTGCAGCGTGTGCAAGAAACCCCCACGTGCTTTGCATTGTTCAGCCCAGGCCTGTCGGCAATCGAAAAGATTCCATGTGACACTCTGAATCTGCAGCAATCCCTGCAGGACCAAGACTTCAAAATGGACACATGTTGCATCTTTGACACATCTGCCTTTACATTTATATGTATATATATGTCACTGCTCTCACATGACGGACTTTTCCTTCAAGGGGTTGCGCCAA